GATCCGTATCCGCCGGAGGTTCCCAAACTATAATTGGTGTTGCACCACTTGCAAGTTGCGTGCCAATAGCCGGTTTGTGGGTCCTTCCATTTATCAAAATTATTTTTCATTAGTTCAGACTTACTTTTTTTTATTACCGGTGGCGGTTTGGGATGAGGCAGGCTCGTCGGCGTCGTGACTGCCGGCACCCTCCTCCTCGGCCGTCTCCGGTTCCAATTCCTCCGCATCTTCATCCTCAAGCTCCTCTTTGTCAATGGTCGTCGGCATTTGTTGTTGTTGTAGAAAGCGGTTATTATGTCGGGCCAATTCTTGTTGGAGTTGTTCTTCGGACATCGCATCTCCATCTCGCCTTTGGTAACCCGTTTCAAAATCATCTCGGCTTTGAGATGAAGAACCGGCAAGTTCTTTACCTTTGCGGGATTTCTTCCTCCCAATCTCGTTCCTTCGATTGCGTTGGAGGTTACCCAAATCAACCGAATATCTACCACCTTCCATCTTAAAAATGTAACAAATATTAATTGAGAACCAATATAATAATGGATACAAAACTAATGCAACTAATTAAAACTATTTTAATTAATACTTCAAACTAATTTAGTGCAAAGTAGAATTAATGTGTGACTTTAAAATTAAAATTATACCAACTTTTGAAGTACTTTAATTTAGTAAAAACTACTTAAATAAAATGTTAAGTACTTTAATTAAATGATTGAACTACTATTTCTTCCTACAAATATAAATTGAAAATAAGAAAATGTGACTTTAACTATAATGACAATTAACTAGTTTATTGAAGTAGAGTTGTTTTAACAATTAATGAGAATACTAATGAAGTAAATAACTAGTATAATGAAAAATGTAACAACAATGCTAATTAACTAATTAACTAGTATAATGACAAATGTAACAACAATGCTAATAAACTAATTAACTAGTATAATAAAAAATGTAACAATAATGGTAATGAACTAATTGACTATTATAATGATAAATGTAAAAAGAATGCTAATTAACTAATTAACTAGTACAATACTAGTTATAGTAAGTAATATATAATATAATGTTTATAGTATATAATATATAAGTTGTCACGCCCCAGACCGCAATCCAAGCGCGTGTACAACCGCCGTATAACTAAGTGACGTCACCCACGGGTCAACCTCACTTAATTACACAAGGCGTTCGAGAAAACAATCCATCCATACTCAGTAGTAAACATACATAACAACATCACATTAAACCAATGAATAGCGGAAATATTCAACGGTAAGTCATGGGCCACAACCGGCCGACAACATGGGCATGCAAGCCCCAAAAATAGTTTGTAGTAAAACAAATATCCATGAGCAAGTGTTCGGTAGTTTGAAAGAAAATAAGGAAGCACGAACCACGTCTCCCTGATTTGATATCACCCGTGAGAAGGTGCAAGTAGCAAGCTCTAGCTTCAACCTGAAAATGGTGGGGCCCCCCGAAGGGGTCAGTACAAGTACCGAGCGAGTAGCAGGCTAAATATAGAATAACTAGCGTTTCAAGTATAAGACCCAAACATAGGGTGATACTTAAATAAATAATCTTTCCCCCAAGTTATGAAATACTTATTAGTATATATATATACTTGGAAAATATCCGATCCGTAGATCACCATTTTATTCGGGAAAATAGTAATAGTCAATATTCTTGACTAAAAACCCCAACCCACCCATATACCTATGAGTGTATAGGACTCCTCCTTGTCCCTACTTGTATATCACAATCTATGAGTTTTAGGATCATAATCCTTGGATACTCCACCGGTTTGTGAGTGTTAAGGACTCATAAGTCCTAGGGTCCTCCACCAAGTTTGAGTGTTAAGTACTTTTAAGTACTAGGGTCCTCCACCAAGTTTGAGTGTTAAGGACTTTTAAGTCCTAGGGTCCTCCACCAAGTTTTGAGTGTTAAGTACTTTTAAGTACTAGGGTCCTCCACCAAGTTTGAGTGTTAAGGACTTTAAGTCCTAGGGTCCTCCACCAAGTTTGAGTGTTAAGTACTTTTTAAGTACTAGGGTCCTCCACCAAGTTTGAGTGTTAAGTACTTTTTAAGTACTAGGGTCCTCCACCAAGTTTGAGTGTTAAGTACTTTTTAAGTACTAGGGTCCTCCACCAAGTTTGAGTGTTAAGGACTTTAAGTCCTAGGGTCCTCCACCAAGTTTGAGTGTTAAGTACTTTTTAAGTACTAGGGTCCTCCACCAAGTTTGAGTGTTAAGTACTTTTTAAGTACTAGGGTCCTCCACCAAGTTTTCCTATGATCAACCTCCTATCAACCTAGATAGAGTCTATATCATCCTTAGTTACTCATAACTAATCCAATACATAAATCTTATGTATCACAATCCATGCAAAGCCATGCATTTAAATAAATATATAATTAACTAACATCAACCGATATTAATTAATCCATCATCCATCGGTCAACGTTGTCGTTGACCGCCAATTCAAGCCTTGTTCACATCAACTTAATCATCATATAATTAAGTCAATAATACTCATTTGAGCTTCTTTTACACTTCAAGCTAATGTGCATTTTATATAATCTCTCATATCATATTTCATGCATAATCAATTAATTCTTTTCATACAACTTGATAATGTTGGCTAATCACATGTTTAATTATCTTTTAAACATCATTATGAAAACATATAACATTTATTTAGGTAATCTCATAATTAACCCAAAAGTTATAAGATATTAAGCCGTCCACTCACCTTGAGCTAGCGTTTTGAAGTTTTACCCTTCTTGGTTGAACTCCGGTGAAACTCCGGCGACTTTTGGTCAACTCCGGCGACTACTCCGGCGACTTTTCCAACTTTGTGAAATCACTTGAAATACCCTTTACAAGTCCCTAACAAGGTTTTATAATCATAAAACCCATATTAATACAAATAACCTCAAAAAGGTTATTTTCCGGTGAACCGGTCGTTTTGGCTTCTAAGTCCGTTCTTGGACATAGAATCACTTTCCAACCCATTAATCCACACTTATAACATGTAGAACCCTCTTAAGGATTCTTCACATGATATATATCTCATATGGTAGAAGAAAAATAAAGAAAAAGTTATAATAAGGTCATTACCTTAATTATTTCACACTTTTCCTAGCCTTTTTCCTTCTTTAATCCCACTTCTTGGATCCTCCTTGGTTGAGCTCGAGTTGCAGCAATGGAGGAGGGTTGGAGAGATGTTTCTTCCTCTTTCTTGGGTAGTTTGGTCGAGTACAATGAGGAGGAAGGAGGGGGATGGGTTCCTTTTGTCTCATTTAGCTAATAAGTGAGAGAGGGACCCCTTTGGTGTCTCTCAATGTCTCACCCTCCCATCAAGTGTACCATTGGCCTTCCTTTGGTCAATTTGAGCACACAAAAACGTGGGGTGGCCCCCACTCATGTGGGAGGTCATCCCTTTGTGTCCCGGTGTGTACAATCGGTCCCGAAAGTTGTATTTTTCGGACTGTTTTAATCATATTTTATTTTATCGGGTAAAATAAAATATATTACGTGCTCTTACTCATTATGGCATGTATAATGAATATACATTCCCCAACTTTAATTTATAAGCCTCTGAAATTCAGTTCGGGCTGTTACCAGTTAAATTACCAGTACTGGTAATTTGGGCTTCTTTTGACGAATCGGTCAACTCTGGGCCTTCCCATGATTCAAATGAAATATTCACCACTATATATTTATTATCTAGACCAAGATGAATAAAATATATGGTCTCGGGAATGTCGGGCGGCCCCCGCTCCCGGTGTGGGCCCCACGTGCAATTTACTATTCACGCGAAAGAATAATAAAAATTTACAACTTCGTAAATTCGTAAATCATTCCATAAGGTTTATTACATCATTTACTTGAAAGTAAATACATTTGGGGACGGTGTTACAAGTTCACCCCCCCTTATTTGGGATTTCGTCCCCGAAATCCGTGTGTCTAATCGAAAAGAAACGGGTATTGCTCCCTCATTGAGACTTCGGTCTCCCAAGTTTCTTCTTCGACTCGATCACTCCTCCAAAGGACCTTTACCATAGGAATCTCCTTATTCCTAAGCTTCTTCACTTGTTGACCTACTATCTTCACCGGCTCTACCGCATATTGCAAATCCTCACGGATTTCTACCGGTGGTTTCTCAAGAATATGAGATGGGTCCCGTATGTACTTCTTGAGCATCGATACATGAAACACGTCATGTATCTTCTCAAGCTCTGGTGTCAACTTGAGGCGGTAAGCCACGGCCCCAATCCTTTCAAGGATCTCAAATGGACCAATGTATCGGGGGTTAAGCTTCCCCCTCGATACAAATCGGATGATGCCCTTCCAAGGAGAAATCCTTAGGAAAACCTCATCACCGACCTCGAACTCCAACGGTCTCCGCCGTTTGTCAGCATAACTCTTCTGTCGGTCCTGAGCGGCCTTCAGTCTATCCCGAATGATCCTTACCTTGGCCTTGGTGATCTCAACCAGTTCTATCCCTTCGAGTTTGGCCTCGCCAACCTCGTCCCAACACAACGGTGTCCTGCATTTCCTCCCATACAATGCTTCATATGGAGGCATGCCGATACTTGCTTGATAACTGTTGTTATAAGCAAACTCCACTAGGGCCAAATGCTTGTCCCAACTTCCTTGGAATTCCAAAGCACATGCCCTAAGCATGTCTTCCAGAATCTGTATCACCCGCTCGGACTGTCCATCCGTCTGTGGGTGAAAAGCTGTGCTAAACTTCAGTTTAGTCCCCAAAGATGCTTGAAACTTTGGCCAAAATCGGGATGTGAATCGTGGATCCCTATCCGAGACAATGGATATTGGGACTCCATGTAATCTCACAATCTCCTCCGTGTATAGCTTGGCCAATCTTTCAATAGGATAAGTAATGTTGATAGGCAGAAAGTGTGCACTCTTGGTGAGCCTATCAACCACTACCCAAACGGCATCGTAGTTGTTCACTGTTCGTGGCAGCCCCACCACGAAGTCCATGGTCACATGCTCCCACTTCCACTCTGGGATGGTGAGTGGCTGCAGGAGCCCTGCCGGGTGCTGATGTTCTGCCTTAACTTGCTGGCAAGTAAGGCATCGACTCACATACTCGGCGATGTCTCTTTTCATACCTGACCACCAGTAACTTTCCTTCAAATCTCGGTACATCTTAGTACCTCCTGGATGCATAGCATAAGCCGAAGAATGAGCCTCCTCAAGTATAGATTTCTGGAGTTCCTCATTCCTTGGTATGCACACACGATCTTTAAACAATAAAAGACCGTCATCACGTACCCGAAAATTCTCAACGGGTCCTTCCAAGATCCTTTCACGGATCTTCTGACATTCCTCATCCATGGCCTGACTCCGACTAATCTCGCCCAATAGGGTGGGCCTAACCTCGAATCGAGCAATGAGAGCCCCACACGTGGACACCTCCACGCGTGCCCTCAATGCCTGTAGACATGTGAGTAGCGTCCCTGTCGTATTCTTCCTGCTCAGTGCGTCGGCCACGACATTGGCCTTTCCGGGATGATAGTCGATGATCAAGTCATAGTCCTTGATCAACTCCATCCATCTCCTCTGCCTCATATTCAACTCTTTCTGAGTGAATACGTACTTCAAGCTCTTATGGTCTGTAAAAATGTGACATGTCTCCCCGTAGAGATAATGCCTCCAGATTTTCAGTGCAAACACTACCGCCCCCAATTCTAGGTCATGGGTAGGGTAGTTCACCTCGTGCTTTCTCAATTGCCTTGAAGCATATGCAATCACTTTACCGTTTTGCATCAGTACACATCCAAGCCCTTGGATGCTAGCATCGCTGTATATATCATACCCTATCCCTTGTATGGGTAGGGTAAGGACTGGTGCTTCGGTAAGTCGTTTCTTCAGTTCAAGGAATCCTTTCTCACACTTGTCGTCCCATATGAACTTGGCCCCTTTCTTTGTGAGCTTCGTTAATGGAGACGCCAATACAGAAAATTTTTCAACAAATTTACGATAGTATCCCGCTAGGCCAAGGAAACTACGTATCTCTTTCACATTCTTGGGTCTCTCCCAATCCATGATAGCCTTTATCTTGGCGTTATCCACAGCAACGCCCGAACCGGATATGACGTGACCGAGAAAACCAATCTCCTTGAGCCAAAATTCGCATTTAGAGAACTTGGCAAAGAGTTGTTTTTCCCTTAGTCGATCAAGTATAAGCCCCAAGTGATGTTCGTGCTCCTCCTCACTCTTGGAGTATATTAAGATATCATCAATGAATACTATCACAAATTGATCTAAGTATTCACTAAACACCCGGTTCATCAAGTCCATGAATGCCGCCGGTGCGTTGGTCAAACCAAATGACATCACAAGGAACTCGTAATGACCATACCTAGTGCGAAATGCACTCTTAGGTATGTCGCTCTCCTTGATCTTCAACTGATGATACCCCGACCTCAAGTCAATCTTCGAGAATACTATAGCCCCTCGAAGTTGATCAAACAAGTCATCAATCCTAGGTAAAGGATACCTGTTCTTGATTGTGACCTTGTTCAACTGTCGGTAGTCGATACACATTCTTAGTGTACCATCTTTCTTCTTTACGAAGAGTACGGGGGCTCCCCACGGTGAATGACTGGGTCTGATGAACCCGTTGTCCAGTAATTCTTGTAGTTGGACCTTCAACTCTTGGAGTTCGGCCGGTGCCATTCGATAAGGGGGAATCGAAATGGGTTTGGTTCCCGGCTCCACTTCGATTACAAACTCTATCTCTCTATCGGGTGGGAGCCCCGGTAGGTCTTTGGGAAAGACATCCGGGTATTTGCACACGACCCGTACATCTTTGATGTCGACTTCCTTCTTGGTATCGTCCACCACGTAGGCAAGGTATGCGTGGCATCCCTTCCTCATCATCTTCCGTGCTCTCATCACGGATATTATACAAGCATTAGATTTCCCCCGATCTCCCTCGAAACATAGTGTGTTTCCTTGATCATCCTCGAGCTCTAACACCTTGGTGTAGCAATCTACTCGAGCATGGTGTTTCTCGAGCCAATCCATTCCTAGGATTGCATCGAACTCCAACATGCTTAGAGGTACGAAATCACAAGTCAAAGGTCGACCCGTCACTTCTACCTCGCACGACGGATAGTAATGATTTCTCTCCACGTCGTCTCCTAACGGTGTGGAAACTAGCAATGTTTGCGTCATAGGTGTCAATGGCACGTCAAGGCCCTCGGCGAACGCCTCACTCACAAATGAGCGTTGTGCCCCGGTATCGATGAGGATCCTCGCACACCTACCATTGATCTTTAATGTTCCTACATTTATACACCATGTAAGATACATTTTCTAATGTTTTTACACATCATTAGGATGTTATTAGGTCCATACAAATGTTTGGAATCAAACGGGGGTCCAAACGTAGAAGAACGGGGCGAAAAAATCAACTTTCGGGTGTTGGGGGTCCACGCACGGCGTGCCTGGGTGGCAGGCACGGCCGTGCGTGCAACAAACTCACCCTGCTGTCCACTGCCGGCCAGGCACGATGCCAGGCACGGCGTGCCTGCGGCCGTGCCTGGCCAAAACTTCTTCGGACACCACTGCCTCCCAGGCACGACGCCAGGCACGGCGTGCCTGCGGCCGTGCCTGGCCCAAATTTTTTTTCTTTTCCTTTTTTCTCTTCGGGTGCCACTGCCTTCCAGGCACGATTCCAGGCACGGCGTGCCTGAGGGCGTGCCTGGCCGGCAGTGGCTGTTTCCAGCCAGATTCGGCCTAACTCACCCGGTTCGACCCCGGGGTGGCCCACACTCAATCCCAACGACGTATATGATCAAAGTAAGCCTAGAAATACATGGGAATACGCGTATTACCTGCAACGGAGTCCGGGTTTGCTCGCGCATCCGCCTCGGTCATTGCGTACACTCGTGCTTGGGTCCCGCCTTGATTTACGGACGCGGCATGGCTTGTGGACGCGCCGCCTCTTCCCGTACCGCCGTTTGACGGTCCCGCACGGTTTCTTCCCGTCATGGTTCCTCCTCCGGATCCCGAAGCTCCTCCTCCCCCTAATTGTGGGCAATTTGCCTTCATGTGGCCCGTGTTCCCGCATTGATAACACCTTGGGGGTGCATTGCACTTCCCAAAATGATTTTTCGAACAATTGGCACACTTTGGAGGCCCCGTCCTTTGTGAGGAGGATGCATGCCACCGAGCATCCCTGTTCTTCTTTGCCGGTGGTGCCGGTGTCTTGAACGAACCGCCACCTCCACCGTGCTTATCCTTCCGTGCTTGCTCGGGCGGCCCCGAACTTTGCCATTTCCTCTTTTTCGCCTCCTCGACGTCTCTCTCTTTTCTCTCATTCCATTGGGCCTCCCCGAGAAGGCCCTGCTCCACCACCTCACTGAAGGTCATGTGACGCGAGTACGTAGCTCGGTCACGGATGTCCAAGAGTAGGGCATCCCAAAAGTGCTCCGTCATGCGGTTCTCATCAACCGCGTACTCCGGCAAGAACCTAGCCAAGGTTCTAAACTCTTGTTCCAGTTGCTTAACTGTGCCGCCCTCTTTCTGTTTGAGGTTAGTGTACTCTCTCCGTTTCACATTCACCTCGTACTCGGAGTAGTATTGAGCATAGAACTCTAGCTCAAAGTCCGCCCATGTTATTTCCCCATGGTACTTCCCTTCCACGCTCTCCCACCACGTAGAAGCTATCCCTTCAAGGAGCCGTGAAGCGACAGTCAACTTCACGTCCGGTGTGATTTGCATGTCCCTTGATGCATCCTTCACCTTCTTGATCCAATCGGCGGCAACGGTAATGTCACCGGTGCCGTCAAAGGACCTACACCCCAAGGCCCTAGCCTCCTTGAGGTACTTGGATATCCTTACAACAAAACCTCCTTCACGCCCATCATGTGGCGCCACGGGAGTGGCCCTTGAAGCTCCCCGGCTTCCTTGACCCGAAGCACCGCGAGAGCCACGCCTTGCTTGGCGCCTAAGGTCTCTCCTCAGCTTTTCTTTTTGATACCACTCAAGCAATTCGCCCATTTGGGCGAACTTGGCATCACTCTCTTCATCATCATCATCGGTGTATGTGTCACCCCCATCATACGGGGTCTCCTCATGCTCCGTTTCTGGAACATAGGTTGAGTCATAGTCCTCGGTGTTGGTTTCATACACCGAGCTCACATGGCCATCACTCACAGTTTGAGCTTGATGACCTCCACGGCTCCCACGGCCTCCCCTCGAACCCCGAGATGCAGCCCGGCTTCCCCTTTGGGATGTTACCGGCGCTTGCCCTCTCGGATTGTTCCTGGTCCCCATTCGCCTGCCCTCCATTTCTGAAAGAAATATGGACGAGTCGTTAGACTCCTATAACTGTCAATTGACGGAAGAACGTTACAGACACGTATTGGCCCGAGTCACTACCATACCAATTGTTAAGGGTACCGTCTTAACAATTAGAGGCCTTGCAACTTAAGCTCCAATAGTCCCATAAACGTCAAAATACAGTGCTCATGGTTTTCGGTGAAAACTCTTTTGTAAAATCTCCTGTGAGAGGTTGATTATATAGTTTAGAACTGAGATGGCTCTGATACCACTTAATTGTCACGCCCCAGACCGCAATCCAAGCGCGTGTACAACCGCCGTATAACTAAGTGACGTCACCCACGGGTCAACCTCACTTAATTACACAAGGCGTTCGAGAAAACAATCCATCCATACTCAGTAGTAAACATACATAACAACATCACATTAAACCAATGAATAGCGGAAATATTCAACGGTAAGTCATGGGCCACAACCGGCCGACAACATGGGCATGCAAGCCCCAAAAATAGTTTGTAGTAAAACAAATATCCATGAGCAAGTGTTCGGTAGTTTGAAAGAAAATAAGGAAGCACGAACCACGTCTCCCTGATTTGATATCACCCGTGAGAAGGTGCAAGTAGCAAGCTCTAGCTTCAACCTGAAAATGGTGGGGCCCCCCGAAGGGGTCAGTACAAGTACCGAGCGAGTAGCAGGCTAAATATAGAATAACTAGCGTTTCAAGTATAAGACCCAAACATAGGGTGATACTTAAATAAATAATCTTTCCCCCAAGTTATGAAATACTTATTAGTATATATATATACTTGGAAAATATCCGATCCGTAGATCACCATTTTATTCGGGAAAATAGTAATAGTCAATATTCTTGACTAAAAACCCCAACCCACCCATATACCTATGAGTGTATAGGACTCCTCCTTGTCCCTACTTGTATATCACAATCTATGAGTTTTAGGATCATAATCCTTGGATACTCCACCGGTTTGTGAGTGTTAAGGACTCATAAGTCCTAGGGTCCTCCACCAAGTTTGAGTGTTAAGTACTTTTAAGTACTAGGGTCCTCCACCAAGTTTGAGTGTTAAGGACTTTTAAGTCCTAGGGTCCTCCACCAAGTTTTGAGTGTTAAGTACTTTTAAGTACTAGGGTCCTCCACCAAGTTTGAGTGTTAAGGACTTTAAGTCCTAGGGTCCTCCACCAAGTTTGAGTGTTAAGTACTTTTTAAGTACTAGGGTCCTCCACCAAGTTTGAGTGTTAAGTACTTTTTAAGTACTAGGGTCCTCCACCAAGTTTGAGTGTTAAGTACTTTTTAAGTACTAGGGTCCTCCACCAAGTTTGAGTGTTAAGGACTTTAAGTCCTAGGGTCCTCCACCAAGTTTGAGTGTTAAGTACTTTTTAAGTACTAGGGTCCTCCACCAAGTTTGAGTGTTAAGTACTTTTTAAGTACTAGGGTCCTCCACCAAGTTTTCCTATGATCAACCTCCTATCAACCTAGATAGAGTCTATATCATCCTTAGTTACTCATAACTAATCCAATACATAAATCTTATGTATCACAATCCATGCAAAGCCATGCATTTAAATAAATATATAATTAACTAACATCAACCGATATTAATTAATCCATCATCCATCGGTCAACGTTGTCGTTGACCGCCAATTCAAGCCTTGTTCACATCAACTTAATCATCATATAATTAAGTCAATAATACTCATTTGAGCTTCTTTTACACTTCAAGCTAATGTGCATTTTATATAATCTCTCATATCATATTTCATGCATAATCAATTAATTCTTTTCATACAACTTGATAATGTTGGCTAATCACATGTTTAATTATCTTTTAAACATCATTATGAAAACATATAACATTTATTTAGGTAATCTCATAATTAACCCAAAAGTTATAAGATATTAAGCCGTCCACTCACCTTGAGCTAGCGTTTTGAAGTTTTACCCTTCTTGGTTGAACTCCGGTGAAACTCCGGCGACTTTTGGTCAACTCCGGCGACTACTCCGGCGACTTTTCCAACTTTGTGAAATCACTTGAAATACCCTTTACAAGTCCCTAACAAGGTTTTATAATCATAAAACCCATATTAATACAAATAACCTCAAAAAGGTTATTTTCCGGTGAACCGGTCGTTTTGGCTTCTAAGTCCGTTCTTGGACATAGAATCACTTTCCAACCCATTAATCCACACTTATAACATGTAGAACCCTCTTAAGGATTCTTCACATGATATATATCTCATATGGTAGAAGAAAAATAAAGAAAAAGTTATAATAAGGTCATTACCTTAATTATTTCACACTTTTCCTAGCCTTTTTCCTTCTTTAATCCCACTTCTTGGATCCTCCTTGGTTGAGCTCGAGTTGCAGCAATGGAGGAGGGTTGGAGAGATGTTTCTTCCTCTTTCTTGGGTAGTTTGGTCGAGTACAATGAGGAGGAAGGAGGGGGATGGGTTCCTTTTGTCTCATTTAGCTAATAAGTGAGAGAGGGACCCCTTTGGTGTCTCTCAATGTCTCACCCTCCCATCAAGTGTACCATTGGCCTTCCTTTGGTCAATTTGAGCACACAAAAACGTGGGGTGGCCCCCACTCATGTGGGAGGTCATCCCTTTGTGTCCCGGTGTGTACAATCGGTCCCGAAAGTTGTATTTTTCGGACTGTTTTAATCATATTTTATTTTATCGGGTAAAATAAAATATATTACGTGCTCTTACTCATTATGGCATGTATAATGAATATACATTCCCCAACTTTAATTTATAAGCCTCTGAAATTCAGTTCGGGCTGTTACCAGTTAAATTACCAGTACTGGTAATTTGGGCTTCTTTTGACGAATCGGTCAACTCTGGGCCTTCCCATGATTCAAATGAAATATTCACCACTATATATTTATTATCTAGACCAAGATGAATAAAATATATGGTCTCGGGAATGTCGGGCGGCCCCCGCTCCCGGTGTGGGCCCCACGTGCAATTTACTATTCACGCGAAAGAATAATAAAAATTTACAACTTCGTAAATTCGTAAATCATTCCATAAGGTTTATTACATCATTTACTTGAAAGTAAATACATTTGGGGACGGTGTTACATAAGTATACTACTATAAGATGAGTAATACACTTATATTTTATACTTTAATATATAAAGTATATATTAAGTAGATGTAGAATGTATGTATTAAGTGGATATAATAATTGTATAAGAATTAAATATTAGAGTATAATGGAGAATTGGAGATTGGAAAAAAAGAAAATAAGTATATATAAAATAGATATTATAAAGTATATATAAAAGTAGATAAAGTATATATTAAGTAGATGTAGTATGTATGTATTAAGAAATATAAGTAGAGATTAAGTAGATAAGAAATATAAGTAATATAGTATATGTATTTATAAGTAGATAATTAATATATAAGTAGATATAATAATTGTATAAGTGTTAAATAGTAAAATAAAATATAAAGGAGAATAAGAGAATTTGAGAAGATGAATATGGAGAATTGGAGATGAGTAGAGAGTAGGATTTAGGGAGAGTTGGAGAAGAGGTGTGAAAAAATGTTTAAAATTAGGAGTATTTATAGGTTTTTTTTAACCCCCACCCCCCCACCCCCCACCCCACCCCACCCAAACGCCCCGGACCCCCCTGGTACCCCCCAACGGCTATATAGCCGTTTGGGAAGTGGCTGTTGAGCCAAAATGTATTTTTTAAAATTAAAATAATTTTTTTTTTTTAAAAATGACCGTTAGGCCCGGGCCCGACCCGGCCGGGCCACTAAAAACAGAACCCGAGCCCGGACCCGCTTCTCCCACCGGTTCGGTGCCCGAACCGGACCCGAGAACCGGGCCGGTTCCGGGCCCGTACAGTGACGGGCCGGGCCGGTCCCGGGCCGGGCGGCCCGAACCGGGTCCACCACTACATCACCTCTTACATCGACATCACCTTGTATTCACATAGACACACACAAACATAATAATACTGTTTGCATGCATGGAAAAGAATGATTTTAGGAAGACATTTACAAGAAAATATCTTGTCTATATATTGGTAAAAAGATGACAAGCAATTGTGATGAACAGAGAAATAGAGAATACGGACTCAATAAAATAAAAGCGAACAGTTAGTGACTTGACTCATAAATTCCAAGTACAACACTTCGTTAAGAGTTATCTTTCTTTATCATCGTCACATCAGTATGTCCACATTAACACGCAGACGATATAATTTATTTTTGGATGTAAAGAAGCTAAACTACCAACCGCAAAACCTAGTATCTATCTTGTTTATCTAAAAGTATTTAAGTTCTTAGCTGCCAAACAGAACAATATAGCAAGGCTACTTTTTACATCAACTTTTGTTTCAATCAAAAACGCCTATTGGAGCCACTATCCCTTCTGTAATCCCCACCAGGAGGTTGCCCGGGTTGCACTACCGGTGAACCAAAATACTGCCCTGCTTGTTGCTGATTTCTTAAGGTCCCAGAATGTGCTTGAGGGTGCCACCTTGGTGATAAATTTGTAACATGTTGCGGGTTTTGCATTCTTGGGTGACCCAATGAGGGGCGTTGGTGAAACCCAACACCAATTCCTTGGGTGGGTCCTGGTGGCTGAGAATTAGGAGGCGGCTGTGGGCCCGGCTGCCACTCTGGGATGTCATCATCATCATCATTCCATGGTTCAATTCCAAAACCACCAGGCACTACTCTATTATTATCAGTTTGGCCATACTTTTGTACAAGTTGTCTCATTTGATCAGGTAGGGGTAGGTGTGCGTGAGTAGGGGGCTGTGGGTGGGGTTGTCTAGTCAAGGGCGATAAGTTCTTGATGTTGCCAGAGAAATTAAACTCCGGTAAATCATCATCATCACGAGAACTGCCCTTGGGCGGCCCAAACCCAGGCGGGATGTCATCATCATCATCATCATCATCACCACCTTGTGGCAATAATGGGGTAGTACTAGTAGTAGGTTTCAAAGATACTTCAGGCAATAAATTAACGTTGTTGACATTGACGGCCTCTTTTTCATGTGGTCTCCTACTAGTGGGCGACATGATGGATGGCTGTTGTTTTTGGAAGACATGTTGTTTATGGTCTTCCGTTGAAATTGTGGAAGTTATTTGATGGTGGTGGTGGTGATGTTTTCTCCATACAACAACACCTACAAGGCCATTATCGGAAGATTCTTGCAGCCTGGAGCTTTCTTCCTTAGACACATGTTTGGTAAGAATATCCAGTACGCGACCTTGGGGTGGACAAAGGTAAAGCTCCACTCCTGGAGCTGGCTCGGCAAATCCCAACCTGTCATCGGAGACATATGAATCTACCACCTGAGAAATATTCAACCACGGCACTATGATGTGTGAGAAATATTCATGTATAAACTAAAAAGAACAAGCATTGAAATATGTCTATGGGAACAAATGAATAATAACCTCTGAAAGACTTTTCCGTCCACCCTCGGATGACTTATCCTTCAGCACAAATTGGACGACCTGCAAATTGAATGTTTTTTAATTAATGGATTTAATGATGACAACTCTTTAAATTATTAGTCTATGTATAATCAATAAAATCTAAAACCTTTAAGGTGTGTCATTCATTGCTTATTCCTTTTTTTCTCTTTTATTGAACAAGTTATCATTTCACCTGCTTATAATTACACTTTATTTTTTTAGAAAATTATATGGATGATTTGCTCTCCGCTGATTATGCCCTATGGAACAGAAATTCAATCAATATATATCAACGGAAAGACCATTTTGTAATTATTACGTACATAAGCCAGCAATAGTAGATATATCAAATCAAATTTGCGAATCAGCTTCTCATACACATATACATGTTGCTATGAACCGTCAACGTACTTTTTTTTTGCTCTAAGAGGGCTTAATTCATAGAAATAGCATTCATCAAGGGTACAAAAATAGAAAAGAACCACATTTAACAATTTAAATTAGAGATATTACACAAAAGAGTTTAGATTAAAAATTGAAACTTGCTAGTCCGTACTAGACAAACATCATACTGTTCCCAGGTATTGCCATATCAATATGGATGGACAAAAAATGATAATAGGGTAAAGTGGTAAAGCCGTTGACCGTATGAAAGAAAAGCAAGCACAACACACACAAAAATAGATATAGATATATGTACATAGGTAAAAAAATGTTGTAAAGAAAAGCCACACTGCAAGTTGAATGAGCCTGTATACCATGACTGCACGACTCCGTGACATGGGGAGCTGCAGGAGGAATTTTTCAAACGCATCAAGCCTAACTCTACCCTTTACTTCAAGGGAATTTGTCCACTCCTTTGTTGATGTTGTTTCTCCACTGCAAGGGATAAGTATGTCAACACCAACCAACCAGAAAGAGCAATTATATTAAACATCATCCAAATAAGAAAGCATCGCTTATCTCTGACAAAAGCAACCAACCCCAGAGTAAGTTTATTACGGAGTAATATATACCCTAAGTTGTGTGTTCATTCATGCAAGGGTAAATATGTAAATTTGATGGGTGAGGATAACACATGCAGCTTTGATATGTATAAACATACGTGATATGCAATATGTAAGCCCTTGAACTCATCCCACCATGCCAGCCAAAAAAGTAGCAGAAAATTCAAGAGGTAAAGCACACATCATTGTGTTCACCTATTATATACAAAAGACACTACAGATGAAAAAAATCCAGATGTTGGCAACTTGGGATGGGAGTGAGTTGGCCCCACTAACTTACACCCATGATCAGAATCATCATGAAAGGAGTAATGAGTGCAGAGCAATTCAAGGAGTGCAAGAACTGCCCTTCAACAAAATCATGGATGGTAACTCTCATGCACCACTTAAAGGACACTTGTTAAATTCATAGCATTGCCTATACTTTTTCCGAACTATTCAGAGCACATAACTTAATTGATTATAAAATGGTGAGCAATGGTGCCCAAAAGGTTAAAATAACATATTATATCCATTTCATCGAATAGGTGTACAAACCTTCTAAAATAACACATAACCGCAACTGAAATTGAAATGCTCAGTTGAAGTTCCCCCTCCCAAACAGATTGGACAGCAGATGCATTCCCGCACGGAGATTCTTTTTTTGCATTAAGATGTGAAATGGACTTCACATCTGCCTCTGGACCAACCAGTTTGCCAACTAGCCCAACTTTTTTTCGGATCACTTCACCAGTCTTGCCTTCAAAAGAAGTATTGTTAGAAGATCCTTCCAATGTTGATTCAACAGATGGAGGAGTTCCAGAAGTGGCATCTACAGGCAAGTTCTCAAATGGAGGTTCAGAGTCAAGGGACTCCATAAATTCATCAAGTGTCACAATGGGTGAGAGAAAATCTGCTTCCTTGAACTCATCTACCATCATTCCTTGCATCAAATCGGCCTCATCAGTCTGAATAACCAAGCTGTGGGATAAATCCTGTTTCTTTTCACTACTTTTGGGATTTTGTTGAAATTGTGTGGTAATCGGTGTGGTTGCACCAGCAGATATCTCAGCGGCAATATTCACATCTTCATAGTCACTTTGAAACACCACTTGGTATTCTCCTTTGTGTGTTTTCTTAACCAAACGTCTCATGTCACCATCACTATCTGGCAAAACAACCATTTGAGCAAGTTCTTCAGCTTTTGCTGTCCTCCACTCCGAAAGTTCTTTCGAAGCAAGTTCCTCTGCAGTCATGGAGCATAATCTTTCTGGGAGAATCTCACCTGACATAACCCTTTCTCTGAGTTCTGGATTATTTGGGTCTTTTAGATTAAACAGAAGAGATCGACCCTTCTCTTTGTATTTCTTATTCACACCTCGGAATAATTTAAACAGTTCTGATTCGATTTCAGAAGCCAAATCTTCCGGACAAGATACATCATTTTGAACGAGAGGTAATTCGTTTGTTTCCTTCACCTCCTCCCCCATATCAAGATCCATAACCCAAGTGAGGCCATTTCCCTGCAAAAGATCGTCTTTGACAAAGAAACTATCACTAAAAGGTATATCTTCCACTGCCAACTCAGGAAACCCAGCTGTATTCACTTCCTCTGATGGTTGTTGTTTTCCTTGTTTACTCTCACTCTCATCCTTAGCCTCATTTGATGTAGATTCATTTTTACGTTGGCATACCAAAGCAAGTGCACCTGCAAGTGATTCCCTCATCTTCGATCTAACAGCTTTGGACGAGTCGGTGTGGTTCTTAGCCACTGTGTCTGCTTGTACAGCCCTCCCTTTTGGTCCCTGTCGCTGGAGCCCAGCTTTACTAGAAAGGGGCTCATTTCGCATGGCTTTTCTGTTTGGTGGAGGAAGAGTTTGTGTTGATGTGGGGCTGGCTTTGGGTTGTAAATTTGGTCGCTGAGGCCCACCAGCACGTCTGGTTGATGATGATGACAACTGCCGAGGGGAGGAAACATGAAGTTGAGGTTCCCCATCAGCCTTTCGCTTGCTCGGTACAGATAATTTCTGCTCAACGCCAACATTAGTGGACACACCTCTAAATACCCTATCAGATGACAAGGATTGCTGGGGGACAGAACTGATAATTGATGAGCTTGATTGAACCACACCTGTTTTGTACTCTGTTTGACCCAACTGGTTTACAGAAACCAAGGAGTCAACACACTCAGCTGGGTTCACAGGGCCACTGGATCCAGGAAAATCATGCATTGTATTATTTGGCATATTTCCAACCATTTGCATTTCCGACATAAGATTACTAGACATATTAATGCAGTTGTACACAACAAGAAGACATTTCACTTCAGCTCATTGATACCATTTGGTAAATCAACAATGTCACTAAATCTTGATCAATAACATGTAAATACAAGCTCTGCACACAAAACATAGGAAAAGTGATTGATCTATTAGTAAATTATTAAACACAAATATGAAGCAAGTAAACAAAATGACACAAGTCTTTTCAAACAGCAATCTAACCAAAACAAGAATTCAAATTTATAGCTTAAAAGGGCTGAGAATATTGACCAAACATGCAACAGAGAGTGGAATATTAAGAAACACAGAGTTGACAGTAGATAATATATGAAGCACTCATTTGTATGAATAGTTTACGTTCCTTTGTATCAATGGCATTTATTATAAATGATGAAAAATTACTTACCATCATTCGCAATATATTGACATTTAAATATCCAAGCATTAGAGGGGAAGTGAAGAAACCTAATAATCACACAGTTGGCACCCAAGAAAAGGGTAAGAAAGGGAGCACTCTTATGAGTACTGAAATGTATGTAAGTATGTTTAAGCTGTGATCATTAAAAGCATCATTTCTTTCTTTTCATGAATGGAAACTTTTACAAATATCCAGAAATCTGAACAAATCAGACCAGAACTCTTGACGAAAGAAGCAAACTAACAGCAAGAAGAAAACACAAGAGGTTAGCACATCGAGCATAATCTCCATTTGTAACTAGAGAAATATAAAGAAAGCAAACACCATTTTGAAATAGTTGGTTCATGATACAGGACACAAACAACTTCAAGTTATTTGCCATGCAGTGTGGTCAGTTTTCAGCATGAAACTATTGGCTCAAGTCCTTTTGCCTTGAGGAATCACAACTTCATGTAATCATGAAACCCTACCAGAAATGTCATCTCAAATTTTGCATTTTGTTGGCTTTAACAGTTAACTTATTGTGATTATTCTGGTTTATCCAAAGATTACATTTGGGACCCAAATTGCTGGTATTATTAGCCCTTCTAGCTTACCTTTTTAGAAAAATTGTCTGGATTATGCAATTTTATGTATGGAAAAAATTTAAACGTTATAACTGCATTGAAAAGCCCTTTTAGTCTTGCACTAAACATTTACTGCCATACTCCTGCTTGTTGTTCCACAAATTGACCTCACAGGATCCATTCAGTAGTATACCTTTACAATACCAGATGTCCTCAAAATGAAAATAGTAACATGGGAATCTAACGGCAGTAAAACTAAAGCATCATACTAGAATTCCAGTGATAAGTGAACCCTTCTAGTGCTTTCCTCAACACTTATCAGTTGTGGGGAAGAAAGGTAGCAAACAAACAGTAGTGGTCAATACACGTCTAACACATGGACTACTATTTTCAATGTCTTGGACAGCCAAAAGAAAAAAACACTTCAGTTGTATAGTTATGTACTTCAAAGTTCAATATCAAATACATGCTTAAGCCATATATAGCCCAAACTAAGATCTAATTCCAAATTGCCTTCTCTTTGGGAACTGGGAGTGAAGACAAATGTTGTAATAACACATGGGCTTCACCCTTCAAGTCCACCAACCCGACTGAGGACCGCCTGAGAAACACTTTGTTGTCTTCACAAAAGGCAGACCTGAAGTCATTTACTGCCAAATGAGGAAGCTTCAGATGCCTATCTGTGCTTAGCTGGTAAATGATGCAACAATGAGAAGAAAAGGTTCAGATGCTTGGGACACAAAAGTAACACCTAAGCATAATCCAGAATTCTCTCACCATTTACATCTTTAAAGTATGTTGCATGCGCAAGCTACTTAAATTCATAATTCTTAATCATCATTATATAAAACCAAAATGTTTTGTGAACGATATTCCTGCCCAAACATCCCCATGGTATAGAGCAGCACGCAAGCTTACCAGATAATAGCCTTAAAGGTAGAAATATTGAACAAAATATTGTATACTAACTAAAATATTGTATCAGCTACAGTGGAGACTTTTATTACAAAGAATTAAATTTTAAAATTAAAAAATAAAAGAAAACATATACAGTAGAAACATTGATGAATGTTTATCAATGTACACGCTAGAAACAACCCTAATCAGGTCCCGGCAGCCTGTTTCTTGGAGAATGCATACAAAATATACATGAAATATAATTAAATTTGTAAAAAACTGCCTGTCGAATCTAGCAAGCCTATTCATTGGGCCAGTGTATTTTCAGCCAATAAAATCTAGACAGCCAGTTCATTGGAGTAAGTATATTTTTTAGCCAATAAAATCTCTTCTCCGCATTTGTATTTCCTTTATGAAAAGATCATTCATTTTTCTATAACTACTACTACCTAGCAAACACTTTCCGAGTAAAATACAACTCAATCTTTCTATCTCTTCTCATTCTCTTTTTCATTCTCAATCTGCAATATGTAAACCTATTGTTTTATTAGCTTATACAAACAAAAAAGGTAATTTTTCTATAATCAATGATTTTAAGATGTTTCGAGTGAAGGATAAAGAACTACTTTTGATAGAATGTTAAAGAAATAGTTAAACTAACTAAATCCACAGCTATGGGAAGCTTTGTTTCTGTCTCTGGTGAGGGTAAATATTATTACTTTAGTTGTATAGTTAGAATTTGCCTATAATGCATAGCAATTAGCAATGCTTACATACAAATTAACTTGTACATGTCTTGGAAATTTGACTCGATTCATGTTTGATTTTTGTTTCACTGAGAAGGCATATATAGAGTGATTTATGGGTAAAATATTTTGATCACTATTCCAGAAGGCATGTTGCTTGTTTTGAGAAATAGAATACAAAATTAACATTAGAAAATATAGTTTAAGTGGGCTGAATTTTCAAAAAAGATTACAGCAAGATTTGAGTACTACTTATGCTTAGAATTAGTTCATATGTGCGGTACAGTAAGGAGAGTTAAGTTAGTTAGTTAGGTTTGCTCCTTAATTATACATAATCATACTCCGTACAAAGTATTTATGTTTTTTTAATACTTATGGCAAAACAGTTAATTTAGTTGAAATGTATTTATAGTGAGAATAGGGTGTAAAGAATAAAAGTCTGTTTGATTTAGGGTAATAAAAAATTCAACAACTAGTATATATATGTTTGAGTGAGATGAGAATTGAAAAACAATACATTTAGGGGGGTCAATATTGTTTTGCTTTAAACGTTGAGTCATATTAGTTAGTTACTATTGCTCTTAATTCAATGGCCGTCAAGGTGTTCGTTAGTAAGAATCCTATCCTGGCTTGATATCATCAAAGAAGAGTGGAAAATGAAATCAGTACCAGACCTTTGGGTTTTAGGATAGATTGGTATGAAACATACACATGTATTAACGATTCAATTCATATGAAAACCTACCAATCTGGAGACTTCACTACTGAACCGATGGAAGATCTTTGGCACTTTGCGTCTTTCTGTTGTACATCGACGGACGTGATTCAATAGCAGATGTGATCTGTTTATCTAATAGCGATGAAGAAGCTGGCCGGGTATATATCCACATAAGCGGTGTGGCGATAGGAGATCAGAGGAATTGATATCGGTGATATCACAGAGGGAGTGGCAGGTCGGCTGAGGTGTAGGTTATATATTGGGCTGGGTTGGTTTATATGTTGGGCTATTTATTGGGCCGTACAGTGGGTTAAAATGCACTTAACAAAATTATGCACATAAGGTAAGGGGAATTCTATTGGCAGCCCATTATTTGTTAAATACAGTCACATATTATTTGCAATACCTAATATGCCCATTAAAATATCTATATTCATGATACTTAAATAAACAGACTTTTTAGTGACACGTAGATTTTTTAAAAATAATCTATCATCTGCTAAATTACATCATTCATAATCTCAAAATAATCAGATCTTTTGTGAGTTCTGCACTCAATAATTAATACTAATTTCACAATAATCTTGAAATAATTTGGATTCATATTTCAATTCCGGATTATTTTGTCAAATAATCTCACCAAATAATCTTCATCACCCAACCATGATCCCAATTATAATTTGCCGCATCATAAACTTAATCCTATAATAATCCCATGAATGGAGGTGCCCTTAGGTAACTTCTAATCACCTTCATCTGAAGAGGCACCGCCTACTCAACTCCCAACAGCAAGATCAGTGGACATCTGAAGAATATCTTTCCATTTATGTGAAGTGGGAATGAAATTTCATCTCTTGCTCACACACACGGTTTGGCATGAGCCTTCTCTCTTCCATGTGAACTGTTTCACATATGGTCTTCTGTCTTCCATTTTATGGGTTTGGTTTGGCCGGGGTTGCTCGGGCGACTCTAGACGGTGGCCCTCCTGAGGTTACTCTTCCGTCGTCGTTGGCTTCTCTCTGCCGCCTGGGGGTGTTGATGGGGGTTACACTCTTAGGCTAGTCATGGCGAGACTCGAGATCAAGACTTGTCTTGGTAGAACCACGGAGTTGTAGCCATGGTGAACCGGCGCTGGCTGGACGAGGACCGGGCTGTTGTTTGGAGCTCCGACAGCTTGTCACCATCACACATCTTGCTTCTGGTACTCTACCCAGGCGAAAGCCTCCAGACCTTTTGTTTTGATTTGTCTAAAGATTCTATCTATGAAATAGAATCAAAATTCGTATCTCTTGTGGGTGGATTCGCATCTATGAACTAGAATCGGGGTTGTAAGAAATCAGAAATGGCAAATCTATAGGCTTTAGACAGCACAAAACAATTTGCTTTACCATAAAAGAAAGCTACGATTGACATTCTATATAAAAAGTAATGATGAGACTATGGGAGAAGCACCCAAATTAATACGGAGTGCTGTATAAATTATATGAATTATGAACTTGAATTTTATTTCAATTAGTAAATCAATTCAAATGATCAGGCGGTCATTTGCTCCCCTATTGTGGTTGGAGATGCTAAGGTGCCGACTGCTGCATAATTGGTTTGGTGTGCGGAAAACATTTTAAATGAAAAAACACATCTATTTACTTTAAATACCAGTGTAGTACTTGTGTGATGCACAGGAAAATTCAAGAAATGAAAATGTAGTAATACCTTATAGTAATAAAATTACTGCATACAAATTTAAGATGTTTTGCAATAATTTCTTTTTTGTTGTTGATGATTATCACAAATTGACAATGCCGAGTAACTTTGAAGGTAAATCGACTTTCGCAATTACTCCGTAGTAGATTTTAATGGACAATGAAGTTTTAAACGTACATGATTCCTTTGATTCTTTTTTTACCGAGTCGCCCTATTAAGAAAACATGTCTAGTCCACATCGGTTCTATGAACTCAAATGATAATATAGTAGATCATTTGATTAGTACATGTTTGTTCTTATGATTCCTTTTTCACAAAAATTAGTTGTCGAAGATAACATTATTACTCGGTATTACTTAACAAATTATACAAACATAAAGTAGAATAATTTTATTAACAAATGATACACATATTTGAGACAGTTTATAAATAAATCATACCATAAAAAATATAGGTATTGAATGATGTAATACTCTACATGTGTTCTTTAAATTTTAATTAGTGAACCATATTTCTTAATAAATTAAACTAAACCCATTTGTATCGCAAAAACTAACCTAATAGTCCGTATAATATATGCTCAATGGTTTTAACAAAGTATTGATAAGGAAAGAAGAAAAAGATGCAAAAAAGAAGAAGGAACGCCATGTGGCATTTAAGTTATCACACATTTGCCAATATTTTAATTTTAAATGTAGCTAAGGAAAATTCCGTATGACATTTCAAAAATGGTGACAATAGGACATCATATTCTTCATAGCCGCATTTAACTTCAATGATCGAGTACTCCATGCAATAATATTAAATGTGTTGTCTCTCAATATATTATTCCCGGCCTTTTTGGTTTGTTCAACCATTTGATATTAATATATTGAATAATGTCTATTGATGCATGCATTTTAAACGACACAAAACGTCTGCATACCCCAAATACATGCTCATTTGGTCACTATTAGTTTGCATAATTTTTCTTATTGTTTTAATGTTTCTTTTTATATTTTATAGTCATTCAATTCGATTGTTTTCTCTTACCTTGCACACTAAAGATAGCTTCCAACTCCAGAGAGCATATGACTAGATTTTCTTAATTGAGTACTAATAACAGTTCGGGTTAAAGTGTGATCAGATGTATAACTTGTTACGGAGTATAACTTCTTAATTAAGATCCTCATGAATAGAGTTGATAAAAGCTGTAAAGTAAAATGGACAAACGAACTCCAATTTTTGTGAAGAAGATTATTCTTCAACTTACGTTTTCTTTATGCGAGCATTTGAACATCACCATGTGCAAAAGCCTCAACTATATCTGATAGTCCTACTATTCTAGTGAGGGAGGTACATTTTGGTGAACCGTAGAGTTGAATTTATATAGAGAAAGCTTTTGGGATTGGGAAGTCAATAGCCATTATGAAGTCTTTAATCTAGCTGCAATCAAAGTATAATGCGTATTGGAAATAGCCAAGGGAATAATGTCGAAGATGAAAGTATAATGCGTATTGGAAATAGCCAAGGGAATAATGCCAAAGATGAATAAACAGTTTTTTTGTTGGCCAATAAATTAATAATATTTGCAAACCAATTTTTAATTGCTAACGGGCTTAGCTATTTTTATGTTTACAGTTCCTCACGGTGTGCCTCACACTTTTCCTGCTCATTCTTCCTCCCACTATTGCATTTTTATATATTATATAGGTACGTAGTATCATAAGTACTACATACTATGTATGTGAACGGTGGTAAATTTGTACAATAAATATATTGATATTCTTACATATATGTATTTTTTAACACAAATAATAAAGGAATTTCCTATATGTTGATATCAATATTAATTATTTTTTATGAAATTTACCAATTAATGTCTTCCGTATAGGAAGTATCACAAAACTCACTAACTTAGTATTACAATTTTTAGAAATTTCATATTTTCTTGCATATTTAGCTCCAGCTTATTCAGGATTTTTTCAGTATCGCGCATCACACGACTATATTAGCACATTATTATTAACACTTAATTATCAAAAATTCTACAACATTCTTAAGTGTACTAAATTATGATACAACCTACAATCCCGATAAAGTTTTCACAACATTATTTTGATATTGAAGTTTCAAATTTATCTTGATTTTTATTTGTAAATTATTCATAAATTTAATGTATTTTCCATATCCATTTAGAGAAGTTTTGAGTTATTTAAGTTTTATACATAGAGAATAGATGTATGGGAGCTTTTGGATATAAAACGGTTAACACCTGTTGAAATTTTGATTTTTCAAATACTAATAAATTCAAAATTGTTTTCACTTAACATTTTATAAAAATTGATTCAAAATTATGAACTATGAATAAGGCCTTGTTTGATACTTGGTTGTAAGATGTTAGCGGGTTTGACCGGCTGATTGATTTAGTTGGTTCTAAAAAAATGTTTGGTAAAATTATCTGGTTATAAATAGTCATTGCTCAATAAAATTTGATGTAATGGTATATTTATATTAGCATAAGTTATTGATTAATTATTATTTTTGTTAAGCAATTCACATGTTCAGCGCGACATGTTTTAAATTAAATGTTCATGATAGAAACAAGTAATACCATGACTTAGCTTTGCTTCATGTATCATAAACTAATCTAAAATGAAAAGGTCTACATATGGCTGATTTGAAACAATTTTTTGTTTTGTTTTTTAGACATATAAATTAACTTTATTTCAATAGTTGATTGTATGTGTATTTATTGTTTTTACAATAAAATGATAGCTGAAATCAATTTTTTTTCAACATATAAACTCTACTTTTTTTTATTAAAAAGAATGAAAGCAATACATGCGCCAATGAAAGAAGAAAGCCAAAGCAATAAGGGATAAACTAAGCTAAAGAAAACAAACTAAGCTAAAAATTAATCTTTCAAGCGCAATTGTGAGCTAGTTTGCATGGAGGAAGCTTGAGTAGTCAATTTTTTCTTGTTACGCCGAGAAATAACTGGAGTGAAAGAACAATCTTCAGTGACCTCAGTTAAATCGTTTTGTTCAGCTAAAGCCGGAGAAGCCACATAAGCTACAGATGAACAAAGAGCAACATTCTGAGCCAAAGTCTGAGATTTCATCCTTATGTCTAAACTCATTTGGTCTACCATGAATTGAGTGATAAGATCTTGAAGAGAAAGCCGGATAGAAAATTATAGTCGACTTAGAGTTCTTAACCACAACCTTTCGCTTGGGAAAAACATTTTCATTCTCTTTCATGTTCTTCTTGGAGCAAGAACTTACTTCCCTTGATGCATCAGAAGAAGAAATCAAATCATTCAATGAAGACATATCCAGAGTGATCGTCGACGGAGAAAAGCCTTCAATATCAGCCTTTGAACAAATTTAATGATGGATAAACTTTTGAACTTTTATTTAATTTGAGGAGGTTACAAGGTGATGATGATGAAATTTTGCTACAGTCTTGCAAGAATCTTAATTTGAGGAGTACTAGATATTTTGATGTTGAAGGCGATGAATTGTTTCCAGTGTTGGCACTTTTGATGTTACTTTTTAC